GAAAAATTTATTGTGAAATTGACAAAATGAGATTAGGGGGTTAGGGCACTAAAAGGAATTTTGGACCATTTCAAAGATATTGTGACGGACAACGACTATATAGGTATTGTAAAGGAGACATTGGCGCATCGTTTGGAAAATCTCCAGAGTGGTTTTTGTTCGAAAATCTGAAGTTACGGTTAAAAAACTGAAATTGTGAAATTGACAAAATGAAATTAGGGGGGAGGGGTAGGCCAATTAATGTTAATTTTGGACCAATTTTAAGAGACCGTCACGGGCAACGACTATATAGGTATTGTAGAGGAGACATTGGCGCATCGTTTAGGAAAAACTCCAGAGTGGTTTATGTTCGAAAATCTGAAGTTACGTTTCAAAACTGAAATTGTGAAATTGACAAAATGAGATTAGGGGGTTTGGGCAATTTAAGTTAATTTTGGACCAATTTCAAGAGATTGTGACGGACAACGACTATATAGGTGTTGTAGAGGAGACAATGGCGCATCCTTTAAGAAAATCTCCAGAGTGGTTTATGTTCGAAAATCTGAAGTTACGGTTAAAAAACTGAAAATTTTATTGTGAAATTGACAAAACGAGATTAGGGGGGTAGGGCACTAAAAGAAAAACTTGGACCATTTTAAAGAGATTGTGACGGTCAACGACTATATAGGTGTTGTAGAGGAGACATTGGCGCATCGTTTAAGAAAATTTGCAGAGTGGTTTATGTTCGAAAATCTGAAGTAACGGATAAAAAACTGAAATTTTTATTGTGAAATTGACAAAATGAGATTAGGGGGTTAGGGCACTAAAAGGAAACTTGGACCATTTTAAAGAGATTGTGACGGGCAACGACTATATAGGTGTTGTAGGAGAGACATTGGCGCATTGTTTAAGAAAATCTCCAGAGTGCTTTATGTTCGAAAATCTGAAGTTACGGTTAAAAAAATGAAATTTTATTGTGAAATTGACAAAATGAGATTAAGGGGTAGGACACTAAAAAAAAATTTGGACCGTTTTAAAGAGATTGTGACGGACAACGACTATATAGGTGTTGTAGAGGAGATATTTGCGCATCGTTTAAGAAAATCTTCAGAGTGGTTTATGTTCGAAAATCTAAAGTTACGGTTAAAAAACTGAAATTTTTATTGTGAAATTGACAAAATGAGATTAGGGGGTTAGGGCACTAAAAGGAAATTTGGACCATTTTCAAGAGATTGTGACGGGCAACGACTATATAGGTGTTGTAGAAGAGATATTGGCGCATCGTTTAAGAAAATCTCCAGAGTGGTTTATGTTCGAAAATCTGAAGCTACGGTTAAAAAACTGAAAATTTTATTGTGAAATTGACAAAATTAGATTAGGGGGGTAGGGCACTAAAAGAGAATTTGGACCATTTTAAAGAGATTGTGACGGGCAACGACTATATAGGTGTTGTAGAAGAGACATTTGCGCATCGTTTAAGAAAATCTCCAGAGTGGTTTATGTCGAAAATCTGAAGTTACGGTTAAAAAACTGAAATTGTTATTGTGAAATTGACAAAATGAGATTAGGGGGTTAGGGCACTAAAAGGAAATTTGGACCATTTTCAAGAGATTGTGACGGGCAACGACTATATAGGTGTTGTAGAAGAGATATTGGCGCATCGTTTAAGAAAATCTCCAGAGTGGTTTATGTTCGAAAAACAGAAGTTACGGTTAAAAAACTGAATCTTTTATTGTGAAATTGACAAAATGAGATTAGGGGGGTAGGCCAATTTTAGTTAATTTTGGACCTATTTCAAGAGATTGTGACGGGCAACGACTATATAGGTGTTGTAGAGGAGACAATGGCGCATCGTTTAAGAAAATCTCCAGAGTGGTTTATGTCAAAAATCTGAAGTTACGGTTAAAAAACTGAACATTTTATTGTGAAATTGACAAAATGAGATTAGGGGGGTAAGGCACTAAAAGAAAAAATTGGACCATTTTAAAGAGATTGTGACGGGCAACAACTATATAGGTGTTGTAGAGGAGACATTGGCGCATCGTTTAAGAAAATCTCCAGAGTGGTTTATGTCGAAAAACTGAAGTTACGGTTAAAAAACTGAAAATTTTATTGTGAAATTGACAAAATGAGATTAGGGGGGGTAGGGCACTTAAAGGAAAAAATGGACAATTTTAAAGGGATTGTGACGGGCAACGACTATATAGGTGTTGTAGAAGAGACATTGGCGCATCGTTTAGGAAACCTCCAGAGTGGTTTATGTTCGAAAATCTGAAGTTACGGTTAAAAAACTGAAATTGTGAAATTGACAAAATGAGATTAGGGGGGAGGGGTAGGCCAATTAATGTTAATTTTGGAGCAAATGTAAGAGACCGTCACGGTAAACGACTATATAGGTATTGTAGAGGAGACATTGGCGCATTGTTTAGGAAAATCTCCAGAGTGGTTTATGTTCGAAAATCTGAAGTTACGTTTAAAAAACTGAAATTGTGAAATTGACAAAATGAGATTATGGGGTAGGCCAATTTAAGTTATTTCGGACCAATTTCAAGAGATTGTGACCGACAACGACTATATAGTGTTGTAGAGGAGACATTGGCGCATTGTTTAGGAAAATCTCTAGAGTGGTTTATGTTCGAAAATCTGAAGTTACGGTTAAAAAACTGAAATTGTGAAATTGACAAAATGAGATTAGGGGCGTAGGCCAATTTAAGTTAATTTTGGACCAATTTCAGGAGATTGTGACGGGCAACGACTATATAAGTGTTGTAGAGGAGACATTGGCGCATCGTTTAATAAAATCTCCAGAGTGGTTTATGTTCGAAAATCTGAAGTTACGGTTAAAAAACTGAAAATGTTATTGTGAGATTGACAAAATGAGATTAGGGGGGTAGGGCACTAAAAGAAAAATTTGGACCATTTTAAAGGGATTGTGACGGGCAACGACTATATAGGTGTTGTAGAGGAGACATTGGCACATCGTTTAAGAAAATCTCCAGAGTGGTTTATGTTCGAAAATCTGAAGTTACGGTTAAAAAACTGAAATTGTGAAATTGACAAAATGAGATTATGGGGTAGGGCAATTTAAGTTAATTTTGGACCAATTTCAAGAGATTGTGACCGACAACGACTATATAGTGTTGTAGAGGAGACATTGGCACATCGTTTAGGAAAATCTCCAGAGTGGGTTATGTTCGAAAATCTAAAGTTACGGTTAAAGAACTGAAATTGTTTGTACTGTAATAGGTCATTGCGGTTTATATTGTTAGCACGCGCAAACCCCTTATCTATGTCACATTTCTTATTACCTCGTTGGTCAAAAATCCACGAAGTTCCTGTAACCGTTTAGTAACAGCCTCTTCAGAGGAGCAAATCCGCTTTACTCTGAGAGCTTGACTGTACGGGATACTTTTTGTACAGTGTTTGGGGTGACAGCTTTGGGGAGAAGGGTACTGATGTTTATCTGTAGGTTTACAGTAGAGGTCTGTTGTTATGACACCGTCCTTTACAGATGTAGTTGTGTCTAAGAAAGTTATTTTAGAGTCGGCAATTTCATATGTAAATTTAATTGACTGGTGGGCGTTGTTTGCATGTCTGATAAAATCATCCAATTTTTGTTGGGATTCAATCCATTTCATGTCAACATCTTCGATGAAACGGAACCAAGATAGAGATTTGGATAAAGATGTTGAAATGATTTGTTTCTCTAATTTGCCCATAAAAATATTGGCGTAAGACGGTGCCGTTTTCGTCCCCATCGCTGTCCCGTTTATCTGAAGGTAATGTTCACCATTAAAGGTCAAATTGTTGCATTTCAAAACCAGAGTAAGCAGCAGGACATAACATTCGGTAGGTGATTCTAAAGTGTTGCGCGAGTCCCATATTTCTTTACACGATTGTATTCCGTCATCATGAGGTATGTTGGTATACAATGAGATGACATCTAATGTGACAAGGAGAGTTTCCGGTGGTTCATGGATTCCATTTTACGAAGGTAATCTGTAGTGTCTTGAATGTGAGAAGGAAGATTTTCTACATGAGATCTTAAACGAAAGTCTACGAATTCCGAGATTTTTTCAGTCGGGTGGCCGTTTGCGGATACAATGGGTCTATCAGGGTTGTTAACCTTGTGTATTTTGGGAAGAAGATTCAATCGACCAGGCTTGGCGTTCTCTGGTTTTAAATATTCGATTGTATCCTCATCTATGTGACCGTCATTGTGCATGGTTTGTAACGCAGTAATAATTTTGGAACTAAACTCAGAAGTAGGGTTATAGTCAAGCTTCTTATAAAATCTCTCATCAGAGAGCTGACGCTCTGCTTCCGCGATGTAGTTAGCTTTGTCCATTATCTCAACGGCACTTCCCTTGTCTGCTGGTTTTATCACAATATCTCAGCGATTGTATGGCTTTTTTCTCGTCAGAAGAGGTGTTATAAAACGACGAGTACTTGTTGCTAGCTAGATGAACAACATCCGATTTGATTTTGTCGATAACATTTATTCAGTCATTTTATATATATATATATATATATATATATATATATATATACTAGTATATCGCCTAATGAAAAAAAAACACTTTAATAGTTTCATTCAGATCCTAGTTTGTCGCGATCACATTTTCATAATTTTTTTTCTAATTCTTATCAGATTTATTTCCCCCGACCGTGTGAATATTTTTTATAATCATCGTGTGGTGCTTGATATCAACTCTTTGTTTTTTGCAAAAGCTTAAATGTCGCTTAAAAGTTATTAGAGAAAACAGATTCCACTACTGAATCTTGTGCAATAAGATGTTTTTCCATTCGGCAAGCATCGAGTTTAAAATTTGAGAGGAGAAGTAGTACGTATCGTTCCACACTCTATGAAGTGGTATAATCTGTATGTATCCCATTTATGTTGGCAACACTTTAATTCGTTTATATTTTAGACTTATACTTTACTCATTTATTTTTTATCTTTATTAAAATCAAACAAAAAACGTACTTGTGAAGATTTTGCAGTAAAATGACTTTGACTTATGACATCCATATTGATAATGTCATGAATAACTAATATCCTTGGTGATTTGCTGATGAGCTCGATTTTGATTGGTCGGTAGTAAAATCCGATGTACATGTAGGGATATCCTAAATATTTACAGTATCTCTCTGAATACATAATCTGAAATGTATACATAACATGATTGATTGGTTGATTGTTGTTTGTTTCACGCACAGTGGCAAATATTACATAAATAGATAACAAATAAACAAAACAATAGGTAGGTCTATGCATTTCAATATATTGTGCTTTAATACTTCATCTGTGTGCTTTATCAATATGTTATCTATAGCCGGTAAAATACAAATCAAAAACAATTTTCAACATAATAAGCTACAAAACGGCAAGCTTTTTAGAAAAACTATTACTTGTTAATATGTTATTCTTATCTGGGAAAAAGCTCCTTTTTTATATGTAACCGAAAAAAAACACTTTCGTATTCGAATTCGTATTGGAATTAAATTTTCAATGGATTCGTTGAAGTTTTTCTGATTTTTTTTTTTTCTAGAACAGTCCACTGATTGACCTCTCTTTAGTTATTGCAAGGGTTCTTTAACATACAGAGTGTACATGAATAAATTTGATTAATTAACACTGACAATTATTGTCATAACTGTTTCTTCTCAATTAAAATTCATTTACCTGTTTTCTGCATAACAACTCATAATTCTTATATACTTTTAAATTTCTGTCCATTTCAGGTCCATAAAATTTAATCGTTTTATTTTAATGCACTTCCTCTTATCACATTTCAGCTATCGCTTTCTAAAATATTCATCCTGTTAAAAAGTCGCTCGCTCATTCAAATTTTGTACCGAAAAGCCCACAGAACAAGTATTTAATTTAGAGTGGTCTTATTTTAAGAATTTTTTCATTTGCCTGAAAGAGTAGACTCGAAAGCTAATTGTAGGTGACAAAATTGTAAAAAGTAAAGCCCTGTTTATCTAAAAGCTGACGTGTTTCAACTTGTAAATCATGTAGTGAGTTACAATAGCATTGAAGGTAACACTTGCACTACACTAGATGCACATTTCGACGATGAGTGATGCTAAAGGCCAAAATATTTGAAAATCCAAAACATGATACAAAAGTTGAAAACCTGACAAACAAACAAGCAGCCAAACACGAACAAGGAAACAGAGCTTTGCATGAGGGAGATGCATTCCTTAATTTGAAATAATCTACCGAATTATATAATAGCAAATTTCAATCAAACAATATCCGTATTTTCATTCCAGTACCGAAGTATCTTTTTATATTACCTTTTTGAAGTGTAGTCAATGCTATTCTCATTCTTGTTTCCTTTTCTGCTTTAACTTCCTGTAATCAAACGAACTTTGATGAAATCATAGATAAAAAAAAATCCATTTGTTTTATGCTTTTTTTAATTACACACCAATAATAAAAACAGATGATCATGTGGGCTATTCAGTACACAGCAGTCAAAAATAGTGCCAATACATGTAACCATTTAATTGAAGGAAAAACATTATTATTTATAGATAATCTTTTAAGGTGGTACCCAACACCTTGACTAATATTAATTTGGCTCGTTTAATTTTCATAAAATTTTGACAAAATGTTTACTTTGACCCTTTGACAGAAATATAAAAATTTCAAAAAATTTGAACCAACCACTTTATCAGAAAAATTTCACTGGTTATATAGCAGTTTGACAACCATTAATTTTGATCATTGAGAAGCTTAATATTTCCTTAACAATACAACGTAATTAAAACGTTTAGCTGATTTTTACAGAGTTATCTCCCTGTAGTGTTAGGTACCACCTTAACATGTACATTTCAAAATATTCATACATTATTTGGATACCAAATTAATCAAGTTCACTAATTCAAAGAAATTGTAAAAAGAACGTAATTTACCTGTTTATGAGAGTACGGTAACCTATGCGCTGACAGAGATTTAATGGATGGTAATTTAGAAACTTTTTCACATAAAAACAATTTGAATTGTTTCACATTTTGTCATACGGGTACCTTAAATAACTTTCTAAACGGTATGTGTTTTGCTCATTGTTGGGGGCAGTACGATTACATGTAATTGTTCACATTACGAACTAAAGTTCCAAATATGATAATATCTCAGGTAATATTGACCTTAGATTGATTTTGCTAATCTTTTTATGTCCCTTTTTGTCATATTGCTACGTATTCAAGTACTTATACATCCTTCGCTTTCACATTTTTTGGTTTAAGCTCTCACGATGGAGGTAAATCCGAAAAAGCGCATAGGTCGTATCAAATTTATTACTGATAAGTGTTATTTTTATTATGTCCTTTTTGTCTATGGATATTTGTCTCGTTGGTATTTCCTTTATCTCCTTTAGTTTGATATCAAGATGCTAACATTAAGATTTGATTTCAATAAACATGTTATTATTTGCATGTATGATTTCTAATACAAAGAACCAGACCAGGATCCGTAAATGTAAGTTGCCATACTTAATGTTAAAAGTCAATTCTCATTGGTTAATATATATATGTAAGTTTGACCTTATTGTAATAACCAAAAGGAAACTGTTTAAACAAAATCAAATAATTTCAGTGCAGTTATAGTAACAGAACAATCAGTAATAAAAAAAAAAAAAAAAAAAAAAAAAAAAAAAAAAAAAAAACAACAGAAAGCTGAGAGGGTGATAGAGAAGATTAATTTGTTACCCCTACAAAAACATTGAAAACCTTAGTTTTGCCTTGGTATATATATAATGTAACAATCTGCTATGTAACTCTATCAGCAATTGTGTTATCTTTAAAATAATATCTGGCAATATTAAATAGTAAGGTTTCAAATATAAGGAACATGTTATAATTAGCTATATATAGGTAATGGTAACTACAGGTACTTTAGAAGACACAAACTCTAAAAACACAAGACAGTAAAAGCTAACAGACAGAAAATTTAACGATTGTTCAATACTTCGATATAAAGGACTGTATCAAGTCTAGGGTTGTTGAACATTTAATAAAAAATGTCAAGATGACATATGGACGGAGGGACGCTAAGAAAGTTTCATTAAGTCTTAATTTTAATTTCTTAAGTTAAACCTACTTGTCGTTTTGCATTTTCAATTAAGCCAATGACAATTGAACGAAATATCTTTATGTTCTGTTTTGTTGACTTGAGATCTTGTTGTTTGGTTAATGTTGTATAGAACCATTGTATGGCCAATCTGTTATATCCTTTTTTAAACACAAATAATCCAATATCAAAACAATCAAAAGCTGAAAAGAAAGAAAATGATAATTTCAGTTAAATTGATTGATTGATTGGTGTTTAACGCCACTTTCAACATAATTGTGCTATTTCGTGGCGGTCAGTTTTAATATCAGTTGAATTGAAGAACTTTCTTTAAGTGTGAAGATGGATATTTTATTTTAATAAATGTAATTACTCTTCAACTTTCAGCACTATTGTGCTATTTCGTGGCGGTCAGTTTTTATTGTTGGCGGAGAAAACAACCGACATTCGGTCGGAAAACTGACAATCTTAGTAAATTAAGATTGGAGTTGAGCGCACCTACAACGTGCGGGATTCAAACTCACAATCTCAGGCTAGTGATACAGTAGTTCGACTATTTAGACATCTCGGCCACCCACCGAGGCCACTAATTTTGTTTGTGGATGAGGACTGTATATTATATTTATTACAGTAAAAACACTGAAAGCATTTACTGATGTGTAAGACAAAGGCCCAGTCACTCGCATACTGAATAAAATTCGGACTTCATAAAGTTAGTAAATAAAAGCCAAACATTCAAGTCAATTGACACAAAATCACTACGCGCGCGTATAAAACAATCCGGAATTATTTTGATATATTTCGGTCACGATAAATCTGTGCATTAAAGGATACAGTTGCGGCGTTATATATTAACATATATATTATAAATTATATCCTTTATAAAATGTAATGAATACTGTCATTAGATTTTCTTTACGCAGATTGATTACAATATCAGCTACCCAACACAATGTGAGGCTTTGTGAGCTCATTCGCTTCTAAAATTTACAAAAAGCTTCACATTGCGGCTCACAACAGTTACTGATATACATTTTACTATAGCAATATGCCAAAATCGATACATATCTTCTATTTTCTTAATAGGGGGACTACCATTTGATACTCGGTTTTTTTTAAAATATGCCATAATTAACATTTGCAAAGGCAGCGTGAAAATAAATATCCTAACCTTCAAACTGTTGGAAATAGAATATGCTGTCCTCTCATTGATTGAAAATAAATACTCTTATTTAGAGCCAAATCCCCAAAAACATCGAATGGTCGCCCCTAAAAACTAAAACATTAACTGCAATCTTACATGCAATGTTACAAATATAAACGAAGTAAAGACAGATTATCTGCTGTCATTTCTTATGCAGTTTATTATAGGGTATGTCAGTTGGTGATATGTCGGGTTTATTATAGGGTATGTCAGTTGGTGAGATGTCGGGTTTATTATAGGGTATGTCAGTTGGTGACATGTAGGGGTTTGTAATAGGGTTTGTCAGTTGGTGAGGTGTCGGGTTTATTATAGGGTATGTCAGTTGGTGAGATGTCGAGTTTATTAAAGGGTATGTCAGTTGGTGAGATGTCAGGTTTATTAAAGGGTTTGTCAGTTGGTGAGGTGTCGGGTTTATTATAGGGTTTGTCAGTTAGTGAGACTTCGGGTTGATTTTAGGGTATGTCAGTTGGTGAGATTTCGGGTTTATTATAGGGTACGTCAGTTGGTGAGATGTCAGGTTTATTATAGGGTTTGTCAGTTGGTGAGATGTCTGGTTTATTATGGGGTATGTCATCAGTTAGTGAAATGTTGGGTTTATTATAGGGTATGTCAGTTGGTGATATGTCAGGTTTATTATATGGTATGTCAGTTGGTGAGATGTCGGGTTTATGTTAGGGTATGTCAGTTGGTGATTTGTCGGGTATATTGTAGGATATGTCATTTGATGAGAAGTCAGGTTTATTATAGGGTATGTCAGTTGTTTAGATGTTGGGTTTATTATAGGATTTGTAAACTGAATAGATGTCGGGGTTATTATAGGGTATGTCAGCTAGTTAGATGTCTGGTTTATTATAACTTATGTTAGTTGGTGAGCTGTTGGGTTTATAATGGGGTTTGTCAGTTAGTGAGATGTTGGGTTTATTATAGGGTATGTAAGTTGGTGAGACGTCGGGTTTATTATAGGGTATGTCAGTTAGTGAGATGTCGGGTTATTTATAAGGTATGTCAGTTGGTGAGATGTCGGATTTATTATATAATATGTCAGTTAGTGAGATGTCGGGTTTATTATAGGATTTATCAGTTGGTAAGATATCGGGTTTAAATATAGGATATGTCAGTTGGTGACATGTTGGGTTTATTGTAGGATATGTCAGTTGGTGAGACGTCGGATTTATTATAGGGTTTATCAGTTGGTAGGAAGTCTGGTTTATTTTAGGGTTGGTCAGTTGGTGAGGTGTCGGGTTTATAATAGGATTTGTCAGTTGGTGAGGTGTCGGGTTTATTATAGGGTTTGTCAATTAGCGAGATGTCGGGTTTATTATAGGGTTTGTCAGTTGGTGAGATGTCGGGTTTACTATAGGGTATGTCAGTTGGTGAGATGTCGGGTTTATTATAGGGTTGGTCAGTTGATGAGATGTCGGGTTTATTTGAAGGTTGGTCAGTTGGTGAGATGTCGGGTTTATTATAGGATATGTGAGTTGGTGAGATGTCGGGTTTATTAAAGGATATTTCAGTTGGTAAGATATCTGGTTTAAATATAGGATATGTCAGTTGGTGAGACGTCGGATTTATTATAGGGTTTATCAGTTGGTAGGAAGACTGGTTTATTTTAGGGTTGGTCAGTTGGTGAGGTGTCGGGTTTATAATAGGATTTGTCAGTTGGTGAGGTGTCGGGTTTATTATAGGGTTTGACAATTAGCGAGATGTCGGGTTTATTATAGGGTTTGTCAGTTGGTGAGATGTCGGGTTTACTAAAGGGTATGTCAGTTGGTGAGATGTCGGGTTTATTATAGGGTTGGTCAGTTGATGAGATGTCGGGATAATTATAGGGTATGTCAGTTGGTGACATGTAGGGGTTTGTTATAGGGTTTGTCAGTTGGTGAGGTGTCGGGTTTATTATAGGGTATGTCAGTTGGTGAGATGTCGAGTTTATTAAAGGGTATGTGAGTTGGTGAGATGTCGGGTTTATTAAAGGATATTTCAGTTGGTAAGATATCTGGTTTAAATATAGGATATGTCAGTTGGTGAGACGTCGGATTTATTATAGGGTTTATCAGTTGGTAGGAAGACTGGTTTATTTTAGGGTTGGTCAGTTGGTGAGGTGTCGGGTTTATAATAGGATTTGTCAGTTGGTGAGGTGTCGGGTTTATTATAGGGTTTGACAATTAGCGAGATGTCGGGTTTATTATAGGGTTTGTCAGTTGGTGAGATGTCGGGTTTACTAAAGGGTATGTCAGTTGGTGAGATGTCGGGTTTATTATAGGGTTGGTCAGTTGATGAGATGTCGGGTTTATTTTAAGGTTGGTCAGTTGGTGAGATGTCGGGTTTATTATAGGATATGTGAGTTGGTGAGATGTTGGGTTTATTGTAGGATATGTCAGTTGGTGAGACGTCGGATTTATTATAGGGTTTATCAGTTGGTAGGAAGTCTGGTTTATTATAGGGTTGGTCAGTTGGTGAAGTGTCGGGTTTATAATAGGGTTTGTCAGTTGGTGAGGTGTCGGGTTTATTATAGAGTTTGTCAGGAAGTGAGATGTCGGGTTTATTATAGGGTTTGTCAGTTGGTGAGATGTCGGGTTTATTATAGGGTATGTCATTTGCTGAGATGTCGGGTTTATTATAGGGTTGGTCAGTTGGTGTGATGTCGGGTCTATTATAGGATATGTCAGTTGGTGAGATGTCTGGTTCATTATAGGGTTGGTCAGTTGGTGAGATGTCGGGTTTATTATAGGGTATGTCAGTTGGTGATATGTCGGGTTTATTATAGGGTATGTCAGTTGGTGATATGTCAGGTTTATTATAGGTATGTCAGTTGGTGACATGTCGGTTTTTTTTATAGGATATGTCAGTTGGTGAGACGTCGGGTATACATTAATGAGACAGCAAGTCAACGACATAAATAAATGCTTTTATTTGAGAATTCTTTTTTCATTATAGATCTCTGATTATAGATATAGCTATGTCACTTGCATAATTGGATCTAGGAAAGAAAAAACACTTAACCGCTTGCTAAAATTAAAATTGAAGACAATTGTAAAGATACCTGTAAGTTTTGGCACTTTAATTCCAAATATGTTACCGCTAGCAATGTCACGTGCAGATACGTTGTAAGTGTTTTGTAACCTGACAAATGACAAAATAACACCATGTACGTCTGCCTCCGTAGGTAAATTTGAAACGAATGATGTCATTGTTTCTGAAAAAAAGGAAAGATTTGCTGAAGAATGGTTAGCCATTCACTATCTTTATCAAAAAGTCTTTTTATTTTCTATAATGTATATCAAAATGGACGAGTTGTCATTAAAATGGCTAATGCTGTATTTCTGTACTTATTTAGAATTAATGGAGTTGAATTAGTGCATGACACTCTGAAAAAATCAAAGGAAACTTAGTAATTATGCATTTGTTGCTGTGCTTTATCTCAAAGTCACAGTGAGAGAATCTATCAAAAATCAAAATCGCACAATATCCTGCAGGTTCAGGACTAACCCGTAGCACCGGTTTGAGCCGAATGATTTGGTAGATGTCAATAAATGTACATATGCACTGAAGAACACAGGTACAGGGTGAAATCACCAATTTCAGACTACGACGCATTCGGCACACCTCGGCAAATCTTTCAATCTGATGAAGGGTAGTGGAAACTGCCGAGGTTTGCCGATCTATTACGACAGGCAAAGAAATCTAACAATCTGATACAGTAAGGTAGCGGAATCTGCCGAGGTTTTGTCGATTGACTACGACGAGCAAAGAAATCCAACTCATGCTGTCATAATGATGGAAACTTGTCTCATCAGCAAGCATACCAAATCATTAAAAACAAACACAAAATTTCATCCAATTTTTTTTTACAAAAAATGGGGCGGGGAGGGGTATACATTTATTGTCTTTTCATGAAAACCTCTAGCAAAAATAAAAGAAAAAGTCTTGATTTGGCAATAAAAAAAGTTTTGACGGGAACGAAAATCAGTGATTTTTGTATAATAACCGCACC